CCAGCACTCATGCTGCCCCCCCCCCCCCCCCCCCCCCCCCCCACCCCCCGCCCGCCGTTCATCGCAACAACCACTGTGTACAAAACAAGGCCAGCCGGTCGCTAAATGATCCAGAAGAGGCGGTGCTGATACGGATGCAGAGACAAAAGGCCGAGAATGGGCGTGGAGGGGGGGGGATGGGCTACAGATGGGACTGTTGAAAGCAAATAAGGGGGGGGGGGGGGGCGGAGAGCCCACAGAAGGGCCACCGAGAAGCAGTTGGCATTTCGATAACAAAGCTGGTAGCTCCTCTTCTAGCCAGAACCTCGAGGGTCACACTAAACACCTGAGACGTCATCATTACGGACCCCCACCAGACAGCTGTGTCGCACAACACGACCCGCATCCATCCTCCTCCACACAAACACCTGAGGAGTACACACCCATCCCTCAATTTCCAAGCGCCCCCTTTCTCTTAATGAATTAAGGTTTCATCATTTTTTAATTATTTGCATCATCATGAATCTTCATTGATTTGTTACACCAGGCTGCCTTGGGCGTTTCCTCCGGATGTCGTACGGCGCGGCAGCCGCTTCGAGGTCACTGTGGCAGAGCTATCTGACGGGACCCCCTCCATAGTGAAGGCTCAGATCATCTCTGCAGGCTCCCTCTCAGCCCCACGTTACCCAGCTGGTGTCAGGGGGGGTCGATATCTCACCTGGAATATGCTGGCTCCGTAGGGAGTCCTCCAGGCGTTCAGCAGATTGTCCTTCCCGGTGCTCACAAACCACTTGCCTGAGACACCCAGAAACACACAGGTTTGCTCACAGTGGATCACGGCACCGTAAATATCCGCAGTCATACATGTGCAGGGATCCACAGACACAATCAAGTGCTTCTTGGCCCATGAATACAGCAGCATTTCAAGTCAACCACCACGTCTGGGCACTACTTGTTTCTGCCGGCAAAGATGGAATTGCATGTTTTGCCACAGTACCAGCACAGAGGGAGGGGGGTCTGGTTACACTGGCACGCAGAAGGAAGATACCCAGCACCGGCGGTTGGCGAGAGACGGGCACGCCAGAGTCGGGTCGTCGTACCGCAGTAGGCGAACTTCAGCGAGAGCACGCAGCTCTCGTGCAGGTGCAGCTGGTACTTGTCGGGCTTGGAGACGTGCAGAACCTCCACGTTGCTGCTCTCCATGCCCACGGCCAGCCACTCGCCCATGGGACAGTATCCAAGGGAGAAGATCTGCAGAGGAGCACAGAGGGTCAGAGAGCTGAGGTCTGCGGCGGAGGCTGACTGGGAGTAGGAAAGGGCCAGTCTGTGGCGGTAACGGGAAAAGAGCGACGAGTCCAGGGGCTGCGTGATGCAGCTGATGCTCAGAGTGCCAGCCGCCCGCTGCTGACTCACGCAGTAATAGCTGATTATGCCCCACAATTACTGCCATTAGTCCCAGTCTGGCCGCCATTTTCCCCGCCTCCTGGATCTGCCCCCAGGTGGCGCTGTGGGCCGGCCTTTATGTGGCTCCCCAGGTCCCTCCCCACTCTACCTGGGAGGTGAAGTCATGCTGCTGCAGCTGCCGACCCTCCCGCAGGTCCCAGCAGCGCACCGTGTTGTCCAGCCCCCCCGTCCACAGCTTGGTTCCGTCGTTAGAGATGTCGATGCAGCTGGCCCCGTCCGTGTGGCCCTGGAACTGCCTGCGGGAGCCCAGATCCTCGTCAGTCAGTGGCTTAATGAGGTTCTGATCGGCACCGGCTCGCACACACGGCTTCAGAGCACGGCCCCCCAGTGGGGATCACTCGCGTTTACCTGACGAGGGTCTGGTTGTGCAGGTCCCAGACCACGATGTTGCCGTCGCTGCAGCAGGAGAAGCAGACCTTGTTGTCGGGGCTGATGGCCAGGGCGTAGCAGGCGGGGGCCGACGACGTCAGCTCGGCCTTGATGCGGGGGGTGGGCGTGGCCAAGTCCCAGATGGACAGTGTGCTGGCCTCCCCCCCGACAATGAGGGTGCGCCCGTCGGGGAGCAGCTTACAGGACCGGATGTAATTATCTCTGTTCTGGATGGGAGACAGAGCAGTGCGGCGATGAGGGCGGGCAGAACCTCCTCCCCTCCACCGGGAGGCGCCACAGGAGCGCTACATAGCCCGGGATGCTGTGGCAACAGTCGTAGGAGGTCGGCCTCACCAGGCAGTCCAACTGGGCCATGGCGCTCTTGCTGCCCGGCTGGCTGATGTCCCACACCTTCACGCAGCCCTTGCCGCCGGTGTAGACGTTGCGCGTGGAGGCGCTGATGGTGACGGCACAGACCACCTCCCCGTGGTTCAGGGTGTGGATCTGCCGGGCGTGGCGCGGGATGCCCGGGCCCAGCAGGGCGTCCGGAGGGAAGGGGACCGGCTGCATCTGCCCATCTGCGCTCACATGGAAGGAGTAGGCGCTGAGGAGGAACGGGAAACATCTACAAAAATCCTGCAGCGATGTCTCAGGCAAATTAACACTAACACTACACCAGTGCTGAATATATTAACACTGACAAATAAGCACCTGGGCACAGCGGCACTAACCCAAGTATTTGTGCTGTTTGAACATCAGAGTGCAAACGTGTGAGGGCATTCAGCCTCTTGCATGTCATTACCATTTCCACAAAGGCTGTCTGTAGCGTGCACACGTCGGACAAAAGCTCTGCAACGTGGAGCGTGAAAAGTGCTACTTGTGATGAATTTCCACAGTCAGGAGACTGTGGCGGAATTTAATAAAAGAAAGTGAAAGTGCTGCAAGCCTGAGAAAGAGCCTGTGTCTTTCAAAGAAGGACAGACACTCACGGTTTGCCCAGTGTAGCTGCAGGCAGTGACGAGGACAGCCCCGGGGGCCTGAGGTGAGAGCGTGACTCGTATGTCTGTGGGGGAAAAAGTAACAAATGCTTTTATGAACTCCGAAGAAGCAACTTTCCTCATTCGCAGAATGGATGCTGGCCAACATAACAATGATGCTTCTAAATGTGGTATAGAGAGATGTATGTAACTTTAGCACTTAAGCGAGCCACACAGACACGATGGACCATAGAAGGCAATGTGGGGAGGACAAATGGCGGCCTTCTCACCATCGGACTGCGTGTGTACGGACTGGAACCCACGCTGATCTGTGGGGACAAGGTCAGTGCTCCCCCAAATCCCCCTGGACTGGTGAGCTCTCCATTGAGCCCCGTGTGGGACACCACGCCAAAGTGGGCAAGGTATGAGCTGGGGGCAGCAGACAGGGAGCTGCGCAGAGCTGCGGCACACGGAAGGAAACACGCAGTCAGTAGCTACCGGCGCCACGGAAACGTTCCGGCTTCACCCGGGCTTACGGTCCGCTTTCATCTTTTTTCTGTATCACAGGAAGAAAGGCTGAGATTTAGAGGAGAGGAAGAGGGGGTGGCAACGCATGAAAGACTGGCACTAAGCAGCAGTAACATGATAGACCATAAAAAGTAACATAAGGGCAGAGGATCGGGGGGGGGGGTGTGGGGGGCCCAGGAGACCCCAAAGCAGTGCTTCTGAGCCCTTAAGCAGGTCACTTAACCTAGACTGCTGCAGTAAAATATGTAGCCATATGAATGGGGAGGAAGGCTTCGGAAATAGCATCGGCTAAGCAATAAAATAACAGAAGAACAGGGTGAGTGAGCTTCTGCGTGAGGCTGAAGAAAGCCTTTGACGCAAATGTGCCCAGTGACTCAACATTCCAAATAAAATGCGTTGATCTCCTTCAGTATGCTTTTTTGGAATTGAATAAATATAGCCTCATGGGAAGATGACAAGAACAACAACATGGACAACAGTGTTGGCGACGTAAGGGGACCACAGACCTCTGCTCTGCTCTGGGTGGGGAGACACAGAAGGCTGTGTGAAAGAGAGCGGTAAGCGGGCACAGCGAAGGGTTATCCTCACCGAGGGGGTCGGCAGACGAGGCCGCCTTGCTGACCAGGCGCAAGCAGGATGTGCTGGGACCTGGGGGGGCCGGGGTGAGGGTGTCGCGGTGGGAAGGGGAGGGGCTGCTCGATTTCGAACAGGGCGACTGCGCCTTCTCAGCCTGGGTGGGAAACAGGCAGGACACAGGAACTGGCAGCTAACTGGTGACAGCTACTGGCTGGCTGCTCAGTTCGGGATGTTTAGAGTCAGGGATCTTTAATGGGGTAACGTGCTACTGACACAGCCGAGGGAGACAAATCAGCGTCATGCTTAACTTAGAGAATGAGCCAGATTCGATTCCGGAACGCAGACTGCATTACAGCAGGCGAGGGACCGGAGCGAAACACGGGGCCAAAAATGCACACACCTGCGGGGGATCCTTGGTCTTGTTTGGTGTGGGGCTGGAAACGGGGGATGAGGAGGGGGCATCGGAGGGGCTGGGCGACCTGGGCAGCTCTTTCCTGAGGGTGGGGGCTCGGTCAATCCCATTCCCATGGGGGGAGTTCATTTGGCTTTCGCTTGGAGAGATGGGCTCCTTGATCCCGACAGAGAAAAGCATGTAGGAGATCTGACATGCTGCACATTACTACACTGACATGCTGCACATTACTACACTGACATGCTGCACATTACTACACTGACATGCTGCACATTACTACACTGGATCACTAATCAACTCCACCCCTGACAGAGAGGCAGAACAATCTATCTTTTAAAGGTATAAGGACACAGCGAAGGGTGTCCGACATTATGAAAGTGAATTATAAAGTTTCATTACATTTTTCATTGAAAAATCAAGAATGATTGTAATAGTCTTCTGTACTCTAAGGTATCTGTAAAAAAAATAGTACTCTCAATTGAAATCTAAATTCAGCTATTAAGTCCTTCCATAGTTTAATAAGCCTTTCAAATTAAGCACTCAATAATGACAGAATAACCAGCAAAGGGAGGGAACCTGTATCGTTTTAGTTTGTCAAAAGGGACGAATGAACCTTTTAGAAATTTTTGGTTTGGTCGATAACTCATCTAACACCTCGGGGGTCTGAGGCAGGGAAACACACCTCGTTGGAGACGTCCACCACCAAATTTTCTTCACTCTTCTCCCCTTCGCTGTCCTGTAGGGCAGGGATAGAGGGGTTCGAGTGCCGTATCAGACACTCTCCGATATGCTGAACATCCCACTGGGAATGCACATTACGCAGGCCTGTCTTTAACCGTGGCCCTCCCTGCACTGCCCTCATTATCCTCTCAAGCTTATATGCTGTCTAATTGTTCAAATCTCAGTGCAACACATCTATACGGTCCCCTTCTCTCCCTGGAAACAAGAGTGACAGTAATGGTACTTAGTGTCCATGGCAACAGTCCTTTGATGCGAGCACGGCCTGGAAGTCTCATCGACATCGCCATTCAATGACATAACCCCCTCATTTCACTTTGCCCGCTCAGGTCCATGTTATTAGAGAAGGTGCTATTTTATAGCAAAGCAGAACGAAACTATGTCTCATTTTTAAATGGAACAGAATAGTGTGGCATCAATAAGCCAGTCAGGGAGACAGGCGCAAGCAGTGGAAAAATGTTACTATAAATATTATCTTCATATTCGCTACTTTGTAGCTTTTCGTGAGACATTACTTCAGCCCAAAGTGCATCTCCCTTGTTAGAACAGGACAGAATGTATTGTCTACTGAAGCAACCTGCCATCTTTGACCAGGGGGGTCACAGTGATCACATCCCACCCCTGTCAGATGGCATCGAACCTACATAGTGCGACGGAAGCGTGTCCTTCTCCTCACAGCGCCTCCTCTTTCCGTCGCCCCCGCCCTGAGACGAGAACCCCCCCGAGGGGCCCTGGCGCTCCTCTGGTGGCTGGCTATCCGTCGAGGACACGGACTTACTCTGAGGATCGCAGACAGAGAAACCAGGACAAGCACAAACACAGACTGCCTTAGCGCTGAATGACCCAGCTGCATTTTGGACATGAAGTTATAAAACACAAGTACAGACGTCATATATAACACATTATGACACTTCTCCTTGATTCAGTTGTGTTAAAACCACCATCTTTTTAAATCCCTTGAGTTTAAACTAAATTAAATAAATAAATATTAACTCCATGACTGATCATCCATAACGTCATGTGAGACAGACAGGCAGGCAGGCAGTAAACATGGTTTGGGCAAGACAGGGGTATTTTGTACAAACATACAAGCTCGTGACACACCCTGTACTCCCCCAGGCTTGTTCCTTACTCCTGTTTGTTCCTTACTCCTGTTTGTTCCTTACTCCTGTTTGTTCCTTACTCCTGTGTGTTCCTTGCTTTGCCTAGATTTTTTTTTGCCTTCCTTCATTTCAGTTTATGATTAACTTAAGTTACTAAATTACTAATAAAAGTAAATGTATATAAATTGGTGTGAAAGAATCAGTAATTAGTACCTGTCATTACCATACAGGTAAAACGTGCTGTTTGCAACCAAAAAGCAGCATATCACTGTGCGCTCATCTGTGCAACACAAACTGTGCAGCACTGAAAGAGTAAAAATGTCTCCCTCTCTCCCATTTTGGTGCCCCCCCCGCCCCTTCCTGTGAGCCCCCGTTGCCAGAGAGACAGCTGCTCTGTATCTGTGTCAGGAAGCCGTACTCTGGTGAGGCAGCCTGGGGAGATCCTGGTACAGGCCAAGGACACCGTGTGGAGCATGGTGGCGGGGACAAGCACGCCCATTCCCCTGCCGCCACACGCCCACCCCGATAGACAGCAGAGCCACAGTTTGTAGCCAATTGGGGAGCTTGTTAGACACACACTACTGCTTAAGCCAATCAAGGGGCTTGTTAGACACACACCACTGCCCTATCCCCGCCCCCTCCCTCATTTTCTTTCCCAGTCAGCTGAAAATGGGGATGTAGTGTTACTTTCACTCCCGCGTGCTTTCCCAGGGTGTTGCAGGTGTCTCAGATGCACAACTGATTATGCATAATGGTGCACAGACACATGTGATGAATGGACACATGCATGCGTACACACATACACACACGCTTAATACTCACTCGACTGGGTACTCCCTCTGAAACGAAAAGGGGGCTGACATCAATAAGGGTAATACTAACAATGATCCCTAAATAACAAGGTCAGGCTAAAACAATCCCGTCCTTGTGGAAAAAATATAAATAAACACAAGCAGAGCAGCAATTTTTTTTTTCCCCGACGCTGTTCCTAGGCCGCTATAAACAGGGTTCCCACAGCTCGGTGAGTCACTGCAGGCCAGTAAGTCACTGCAGGCCGGTGAGTCACTGCAGGCCCTGCTCTCTTGCCAACACACCCGAGGGACTGAATAAGACACAGCAGTGCGCTGGACTGGAAGTCTGACCTGCCTCACCGGGGAACCGAAACCATCAAGCATTAAGGAGTGTATCAGATCTTCTAATAAACACACAGGCGTAAAAGTAAAACAGTTACAAAGTTACCTATATTTCATTTATCTATTAATGAAAACAGCAGCTTATTAGCAGTTAGTGAAGCAGAACAGCGCATGGCAGTGAAGGGAAAGGTCAAAGGTCACCAGTCACGGTTAATGGCCTTGTGCTGTTGGCCTCTTCAGCAAGAGGCTGAATCTGAATGTGACTGAATCATAGAAGCAGAAGTGAGTAGTTCAGGTCCAGAGAGTAAAAGTCCAGACTGAGACGTTGTTTCAAGCAACCAGTTGAGTGCTCTGTGACTCTTTATGCTCAACTGGTTGCTTGAAACAAGCTGTTGGTCTGGACTTTTATTCTCTGAACCTGAATGACCCAGCTCTGGATAAAAGGGAGAGCGGCGGGCAAACTGCAGGTGCCAGCTACCTCTCATGTGCTCCAGGTCCAGCAGGTTTCGCTCCTCCTTGCTGGCCAGGTGCGGCGGCATGGACAGGGCTCCAGTGAGGGCCAGGAGCCCGGAGCCGCCCCCCAGGGAGAGTCCCGATGGGTGGGGGATGAGCGGAATGCCGGGGGAGTGGTGTGAGAGGTGCTGGAGCTGCTGCTGCTGTACCCCCGTGAGACAGAGAATGGGGGGGGGGTAATGTGAGAGGGTTCAGGCGGGTTAATGGGGGCTGTTTTGGGCCTTTCCTGTGACATCAGCTGGTGGTTCTGTGGGTGCTGGTTACAGCCGAGATGCTCAGAGACAGGTGAGGAGGTGTGCTTGGCGGCG